ATGCATGTAGGGAGGAGGAGGAGGAGGAGGAGGAGGAGGAGGAGGAGGAGGAGGAAGAAGAAATGTGCTTCGAAAGTCAGGATGACGAGGAGGACGGCGTTTCGAGGGCCTGGAAGCTGCAGTGCTTCGCTAGGCTCAGCGGGCGATCCAGCAATCTCTTCCAACGAGGGGTCGTCATCGTGGGCACATAGATCCAAAGTGTGATGGGTCTTCCCCCAGTGGAACATCGTGCCTTTAAGGCTTCGGCGGCCAAGTGTTCAGGATATTGGAAGTCAGGGTGTCGTGCGTCCACAGTGCTTGCGATTGATTCGACATCAGTTTGAAGATGACCCTGCATATCGGCTGCGTCGTGAACAGTTGCAGGCGTTGTCGAGTGTGTGGCGCAGTGTGTCTGCTGGCATGTGCCAAGGAGTTGTGAAAGCTTGGAGCAGCATCCGTTGCTTGCTTCTCGCTTTGCCTGCTCATCGTGGGTGAAGGACGGTGAAAGGACCATCTGTCGCTGTTATTACCCGTAAGGGCTTCGCCCCATGCCGCCGGCCCCCTGTCTCGGATAATGGGAGATGCAAAAGCTAAATCATGAGGTCTGGGCGCCGCCGTGAAGCAGTGTCGGGACCTGTTTGTTTTTCGACCCTGACCCTACGGATCTGCGTCACGGGTGCCACCGATTTTCAGACATGTGGCAAATCCCGTGTGTTTTTGGACCCTGACCCTACGGATTTGCGTGAGGGGTGCCGCCGAATTTCAGACATATGGCAAATCCTATGTGTTTTTGGACCCTGACCCTGCCGATCTGCGTGAGGGGTGCCACCGAATGTCAGACATGTGGCAAATCACGTATGTTTTTGGACCCTATAGTCCTTTTGCCCTACAGCCCAATAGCCCTATAGCTCAATAGCCCTATAACCCAATAACCCGATAATCCTGTAGCCCATATCGCCCTATAGCCCTATAGCCCTATAGCCCTATAGCCCTACAACCCTATAGCCCTATAGCTTTATAGCCCTATAGCCCTATAGCCCTATAGCCCTACAGGTCTACAGCCCTAATAGCCCTATAGCCTCCTAGCCCTAAAATAGTTATAATGTTTTTTTTCTCGGGTATCATATGTATAAACAGATCGAGAGAGAGAGAGAGAGAACAAAAAAGAGTGACAGAGAGAGAGAGAGAGAAATATAAAGAAAGAGAGAGCAAGAGAGAGAAAGAGAGAGAGAGAGAGAGAGCGAGAGAGAGAGAGAACAATTTAGAGAAAGAGAGAGAGAGAGAGAGAGAAAGAGAGATAGAGAGAGGAAAACATCAGAGGAGAAGCAGTCGAGCATGGGGAGGAATATCTATGATGACAAGGGGGCGACGTTACACATACATTCATAAATACATACATGTATACATATATCTATACATTTACACATGTAGGCTTATATGCACGCTACACAGGAAAGCAGGCATGTACATGCCCTTCACATTGACGACTAGCCTTGCAGCGTACAAGGTCCAACCGTTGGCCTGAGGGGATGGTGCGTGGGCCGGTAGCCCCTCACAAGGTTCCAGGGTTTGTTTGGATTCAACCGTTGTTTTTCGTTCAGCTCAGTCGAGCATGGCTTTTGGCTTTCTTTCAGCTTCGCTTTCGCAATCGCATTCGCTTGTGCCTGACTCTTGGCTTGCCTGCACCCCTGCCGTGGCCCTGCGCGCAACGCGTTGCCCTGAACGTATCGTGAGGTGCTCCCAGCGTGTCTCCTAGCCGCGGGGTCTGGCCCGGCCCGGGGCAGAGCCCCCGATGCCGCTGGTGGGTGGTGCAGGTAGAGGCGAGCCTGAGCGGCGTGAGGCCACGTCGGACGGGTCGGACGGGTGTAGGATTAAGTCGGGCGTGCCTTTCTACAGGAGGAATACTCAACAATCGTAGAAACTTAACCTGGTGACAATTTTTCGTGCTCTTTTGTCCATCTTTAGTTTTCGACAGTTTGCAATTTTTCCAAAGTTTCGCCTGAGGGAGGACACGCCTGGCTTAAGGCTAGGACGAGGACAAATCCGCTCTGAGAGCGCTCCAGAGTGCTCTCGGAGCGCTCCGGAACGCTCTGAGAAGGCCGCGGCGCCCGAGACATCCTCCAGATCCACCGGGTCGAGACTCTCGATGGATCCTCACCAGATTTTGTCTTCGTCCTGGCTTGGTCTTGTCACGGGCGGAGCAAGGGAGGCTCTTGCTGTCGGGGCCGAGCGAGGCGACCCGCCTGCCCAGCGGTCAAATTCTAGACGCTTCGCGTATCCCCACCAGTCAGCTTCCTGCTTTTCCCCGTCCTCTTTCGTCCCCCCGTCGCGTCGCTCTTCCCCCCCCTCCGTCCTTCCTCGCCCTGCTCGGCGCCTGGCTTCCTCGTGCTGGCGCAACGTCGCCACGCGCGGCTGCCCGTCTGTTCGTTTTCCCTAATTTGTTTTGCATGTTGCACGAATTATCTGGCTCTGTGCCCCAGTCAGCCTGATTGACACGCCCTCTGGACTCTTCCTTGCGGGCCGCAAATCAAAAAAAGTATCCCCACCAGCTGTGCGTTGCACCGCGGCTCACGACTGCTTAGCCTGTCTGGCTAGCTCAGGTCGTCCGCTCGGAGCCTGGCGCCGCATAGGCGACTCACTCCAATGGCCATCACGTCTTTACCAAGCACGAACGACTTGCCCATCGTGGTCCGCGTCCCCTCTGTGCGCGTTGTGCCTTGGCTGCTTGAATTCCGTGACATTTTGTCCAGTGCACGTGCCCGAGCTTGCAGTGCGCCGATCAGCTCAGCTTCACCCGTCAGCCCGCAGCTGCTGTCTGGGTGGGCCGGCCGGCCTGCGCCTGTCTTAGCTAATTCGCCTAGTTCGCGTCCCGGACTTTGCTTTCGCCGCCTGACCGTCGTCTCGCGGCCGCGACCGAGAAGTATCCCCACCAGCCCCTGCCGTTGGACCTCCCGGCCTCGGCCACCCTGGTACCTCGCAGTTTGCCGATGTACGTGCCCAGTCAGGGCATCCAATTCGACCTCCTACCGTCGGTTTACTTGGCTGCGGCCACCCTCGCACTTTCGCAGTAGTCTGGGGGCTCGCGCCCTTGCACTTAATTCCCGTCTGCAGCTTCCCTGGTTGCGGGTTACCCTGGCCGCCCGCTGCCTCCGACTCGTTGCTCGCGACTTTGGCACTGGTGACCCGCCTACTGTCTGCCCTTTCCACTCGACGGCTCGCCGCTGAGGTGCTGCGTGAAGCTCCGGCCCACCGCTTTAGGTTAATTCGTCTGTGCGCGCCCCGCTCTGACTGGACTCGCCGCTGGTGCGCTGGCCTGGGGCCGCTGACAAACAATATCCCCACCGGCCCATCCAGAAACGACGCCCAGGCGAGTAAAGGGTCGTCCTGAGGGTTTTTTCGGCGTCTTGGGTGCCTCGGGGGGGCCTCTTTGGGCCGCTTGGGATCCTCTTGGGGGCCTCCTGGGGGCCTCTTGGGGCCTCTTGGGGCCATCTCGGGGCCTCTTGGGGCCATCTTGGAGGGCATCGATCAAAGAAGAGGGGAGCTTCAATTAGGGTTGCCCTTTCAGGAGGCCAAAATGGGGCCAAAACCAAGTAAAATCAATGATTTTGGCTTCAAAGAAAAGTGGAGCTTCAATTAGGGTTGCCCCCTAAGGGGGCGAAGCAAAATGGTGCCAAAACCATGGTAAAATCAATGATTTTGGCTTCAAAGAAGAGCGGAGCATTAATTAGCCTTGCCCCCCAGGAGGCCACAATGGGGCCCAAACCATAGTAAAAACAATGATTTTGGCTTTCTCGCCGAGGCCGTTTTGGACGCCCTGACCGCTCGCGGCCCCCCCCATCCAGGTCCACGGGGAGGGGGTAAGGGGAGGGGTAAACCCCTCCCCGAAGGGGAAGAGGGAGGGGTGGAAGAGGAACCGCTCTAAACCACCGACGCCCAGAGGGCTGGTGGGATTCTTGTGGTATTTCGTGGCGCTGCCGCGCGGTTTCGCCACCGCACCAGGGCCGGCACCTGGGAGGGTGCGCCTGGAGGCTTCTTGGGGGCCTCTTCGGGGCCTCTTCGGGGCCTCTTTGGGGCCTCTTGGTTGGAAACTGGAACATATACATTACCAGTGGCGGGCTCCCGTTCAATCCCAGGACTTTTCGAGGGTCAGGGACGACGTCGGAGTGGTGTGGTGTACACTTTCCTCCGTTTTCCAAGGGACACAACGCAAACTGTATACACCAGGATCCCGTGTACACCAGAACCCGCGTTCCTGTGCGAATTTCAGCGCAGGGTCGGGACAAGCGTCGGTGTATAGAGTTCGTTTCCCTACTTGGGTAGTTCTCGAGCGCTGCGGGCATGTTTGGGTATCTCTGGGCCGTTTGAGAACCCGTTGGAGCGCTTTAGCGTCGTATTGGAGGCCTCCTGGGCCTCATTGGGGCCCGATTGGGGCCGTCTTGGGGGCCTTTTGGGCTTTCTTGGGCCGCCTTGGGGTCCTCTTGGGTAACCCTTCGGCCGTTCGGCCGTCCTGGGGCCATCTTAGGTGCCTCTTCGGCCGTCCTGGGCTGCTGGAAGCCCGAGAAGACGTGAACGGGAGGTTCTACGCTTCGCGTATCCCCAAGAGCCCCCGCTTTGACTGGACCCGCCGCTGGCGCGCTCGCCTGCGGCCGCTGACCAAAACAGTATCCCCGAGAGCGGGCGCTGCTCTCACTGTTTTTTCCTTTGCTTCAGCGCGGCCCGCCCTAGCTTTGCACTGCTTTCGACTTGCTTCGCGAGCCCGCGAACCAACAGAAATATCCCCAAGATCCCATCCGAAAATGGACACAAGGCGAGTTGCCCTGATCAGGGATGTGGGATGTGTAGCGTCCTGGTTGGGTTGCCTTGCGTTGCCTGCGGTGCCTGTATTACGTCGTGCGTGCCTGGGGTTGCCTTGGCAAAGTGGTTCCCTGTCATTGCTAGCCGTGCGTCTGTTGCTGTGGGCGCGCGAACACCGACCACGCGCGCGCTGGTCATCTAGCAGGCAGGGAGGGACGATAATCCATAGCCGTTTAGGATCGAGGTCGCTTTAGCAGGCCCTTTCTTCTTCAGCTTGGGGGCAGCGCCCAACCTGCAGGTATTCTCTCCGCGCCGCAGTCGTTCCTGCTGCCCCCCGGCACAAGATGCCCGACTTGCCCGCGGGCTCGGTCTTGCGCGCCGCGGCGGCGTACCACCGCTGGCCAGCCCTGTTGGCACCGCCAGGGGTCCGGGCAGGCGTCCCCGCTGGCCGGCCTGCAGCTTCCCCTAGCTGCCCCACTGGCATTGGGGGAACGAAAAGTGACATAAACACAAAAACTCGGAGATCCGCGCGGATTTCTCGGATCGGCGCCGGAGGCGCCGCCAGGGGGGTCCAGCGCGGATCCGAGAAATCTGCGCGAACCTCAGAGTTTTTATGTTTATGTAATTCTTCGTTCCTCCAGACATGCCAAAGTGCCCCGCGACCGTGCCAGTGCCCGCGAGTGCACCGATGGCTGCCGACCAGGCCAGCTGCCGCAAGGGCACGCCGACGACGTGCCGCGCGGGGCTGCCAGGCCAGCCTGCAGGCCCGCCGCCTACCGCGGCGGCAGCCCAGGCAGACTGCCAGAGGGCGTGTGCGTGCCGTGCGGGCGAGCACTGCGCGGAGCGAGTGCGCAGGGGGCCGCCCGAGGGCGCGAGCTCGCTCGGCTGCGATTCGAGCGGAGCCAACCAGGCGGGCACCATTGGGAGCTGCTTGCAGTCGCTGTGTCGCGAGGACTCCAGGCACGTGTTCGTCGTGCGGCGGGTGAACACCCTCGGCTTCGAGGCCCCAGGGGCTCTGGCGCTGCACTTCTCTGCCTTTGGGCGGGTCAGGAGGGTGCTGGCCACGCAGTCAAAGGCTCGAAGAAGAGAAAACGGCATAAACATGAGCTTCCAGAGGGAGTTTTTTGGATTAGCGCTGGACCCCCCCTCCCTGGCGCGAGGAGCACGCCAGGGGCGGCGCCGCGGTCGCCGCCGGGGTCCAGCCGATCCAAGAAGTCCGCGCGGACTTACGGTCGGGAACTTCAGGGTAGCGTGTCGCTTGGCCGGTTCTTGGCCCACCATGCTTCGGCGCGACACACTGACCACATCCCCAGTCCCAAGCGTCTTTGTCCAGAGTTTTTCCCAGCCTTCCGCCCCGCGATTCGGAGCGACACACTATCCGCTTGCAGGGCAAAGCGTGTCGCCAGGGCCGCCGCCGCGGCACGTCAAGCAAGAGTTCCTCGAAGGTGGCGGCTCAGAGTGGCAGATCTCGCATCCGGCCCGGGGGCATCGCCTACGTTGTCATGGCGGACGCCGAGAGCGTGGGGCGCATCTTGCAGACGGGCCCACAGCAGACGGTCGCCTCGAGGATCATCTCCGTGGAGCCCTATGCGCCCCTTGGCGGCGCCTCGGCCGACGCCGCGCGCGGTGGCAGCACCTCGGCCGTGGCAGGCTGCGCCGGCTCAGGCCCGCGCATGCTCGGCACGGGGGGGCACCCGCGCATGCTCCCAGATGCGATCGCTGGGGGGTGACCTGCTGGCGCTGAGGGGGAGGCCCTCATCCAGGGGAACAAACAGTGACATCAAGGGCTCCCACGAGGGCGCGAAGTTATTCGCGCTTCGCGCTTCGCGGAGCGCGAAGCGCGAAGTTGGGAGCCCTAGTGACATAAGCAGAAAGACTCGGAGGTCCGCGCGGACCTCTCGGATCGGCGCTGGGGCCCCCCGTCGGCGCCTCCGGCGCCGCCCCCGGCGCGCTCCGCGCGCCAGGGAGGGGGGTCCAGCGCGGATCCGAGAGATCCGTCTGGGCCTCCGAGTTTTTTTATGTTTGTGCCACTTTTTGTTCCCCTATCCTCGGAGGTGTCTTCCGAGGTGATCCCACACCCCGGGGCCCGAAGCCATGGGGGCGCAGCCGGCCGTTGGCCCCTTCGCCAGGAGGAGGGCCCGATGTGGCACGAACGACACGGGCACAGAAAGGACGAGTGCGAAGACCGACAGCAGGGACTGCACTTTGAACAGGAATCGCTGTCGGTGTCGCCGCGTGCGCTGGCCATTTGAGACAGAAGGCCGCCTGGCCAACAGCGGCCGCGGTCCGCTCTGGACAACATGTGGTGTTCGGTGTCAGGCATCGTACCCGTGTTTTGCGTGCCCATTTCGGGTGTCCAACGATGAGCGTGTCGCCGGCTCCACGCCTCCAAGGCGGCGCGGTGCGCAGAGCGGGAGATCAGCGCACTGCGTTCGCCAGGTGTTCGCGTCAAGTTCCGCCTCCGTGCCAATGTGGCACCTTCTGCGGCGACGCCTCTGTGCACATCCTGCGAACCTATCAGGCCTGTCACCACGGCTCGATGCCCGTCCTCCTCTCTTTTCCTCCGTGGGGCCCGCGCGGCTCGGCGGGTCGTAGCTGCCCATGGCTTGTGCGACCATGCCTGTGCATGTGAACCCTGCATGTGCATGTGAGCAAAATCGACTCGACTCCAGCGCCTGCTAGGACATTTACATCATATTTAATCATTGCGGAGGCCTTACGGCTGGTGCCGCCAACCCTGAAGAGGGACGACGACGACAACGGCGGCGGCTGCGGCGACGACTGCGGCGACGACGACGACGACGCTGACGTGGGCCAGAGGGATGCTTGTTGGAGTCTCTTCGGAAGGCTCTCGGGGGCCTCTGTGGAGGAATTTTGGGGTCTCTTGGGAGCCTCTTGGGGGCTTCTTGGCTCTTGGCAGCCTCTCGGGGCCTCTTCGGGCTTCCTGGAGACCTCTTGTGGGCCTCTTGGGGACCTCTCGGGGCCTCCTGGGAGTCTCCCGGGGCCGAGGGCTCGAAATGTCCGTTCGGGTCTCCCGTCTGGGCACGTTCTTGGAGCCGTCTTGCGGGCCCTTTTGGCCGTCTTGGAGGCGTTGGGGCGTCTTGGGGGTCTCTTGCACTGTATGGGGGCCCTCCTGGAGGCCTATTTTGCCGTCTTGGGGCGGCCTTGGGGGCCTCGTGGGCCGTCTTGGAGCGGCGGGGAGCGACAAGGGCGACAACGCCCCAATCCTAAAATGACCAAAGGGAAATCAACGAATTCTAGATGTTTCGCGTAACCCAGAAACGATGTCCAGAGAAATTGCCTCGATCAGGGAAGTGGGCAGCACACAGAGGAAGGGTCCCCCAGTGGAGGCCTCCTGGAGCGTCTTAGGGGGCCTCTTGGCGGTCCCGGACGCCTCTTAGAGCGTCTTGGGTGCCTCGAAGAGCTTCTTGGGGCCTCTTGGGGGTCTCTTGGGAGCCTCTTGGAGGCCTCTTTGGCGCCTATTGGAGGCCCTTTGGGCCTCCTGGGCGCCTCTTGGGGCCCTCTTGAAGCGCTCTTGGGAGCCTTGGGAGCGCTCTTGGAGCCCTCTTGGGCCATCTTGGAGCCATCTGAAGCCTCGGGTGGCCATCGGAAGCGAAAAGGCGAGAAAGCCAGAAACCTTGATTTTCCTAAGGGTTCTGGTAGAAGTTTGACCTCTTCGGGGCCTCCTGGGGGAGCTCTTTGTCCACTTGGAGCCGTCTTGGAGCGGTCTTTGGGCCTCTTGGGGCATCGTGGGAGCCATCTTGAGGCATCTTGGGATATCTTGAGCCATCTTGGAGGTCATCTTGGGCTCTCCCAGGCGCTCTTTGAATCATCTCAAGCAGTGCCCCCCCCAGGAGGCCCACATGTGGTCAACATCTTAATGAAATCAATGATTTTGGCATTGTCGCCGAGGCCTCTTGGAGCGTCTTGGGTGCCTATGGAGGGCCGCTTGGGGCCTCTTGGGGTGGGGGTCTCTTGGGAGCCTCTTGGGGACATCCTGGGTGCCTCTTGGGGCCTCCTGGCCACCTCTTGGGGCCCTCTTGGGGCACCCTTGGGAGCCTTTGGAGCGCTCGTGGGGCCATCTCGGAGGAGATCGATCAAAGAAGGGGGGTCCCGCAATTAGCGCCGCCCCCCCAGAGGCCAAAATGGTACCAAAACCATAGTATAACCAATTATGTTGGCTTCCTCGCCGAGTCCGTTTTGGACGCTCCAGCGACCCGCGAAACGCCGTGTTCAGGTCCAGGGTAGGGGGTTGGGGGAGGGGTCAAGACTCCCGCCCCACCCGCAAGCCGTCTCGCTCACTCCCACCCGCCCTCCCAACACATACGTAACACCCGAGCCTGGTCCGAGCCGCAGCATATTCAGCAGTCGTCTTTGGATGGGCAGCGACTGGGGGCGAATCCGCCGCCGCCGCCGCCTCCGCCGCCGCCGCCGCCGCGCTGCCGCCGCGCGCGCCGCCCGCCGCCGCCGCTGTCCGCCGCCGCCGCCGCGCCGCCGCCGCCCCCGCTGCCGAATCCGCCCCCCGCTGCCGAATCGCCGCCGCCGCAGCCGCTGCGCCGCAGCCGCTGCCGCCACCGCTGCCGCCGCCGCCGCCACCGCCGTCGTTGCCGCCGCCGCCGCCGCCGCTGCTCCCGCCGCCGCCGCCGCCACCGCAGCCGCCACCGCCGCAGCCGCCGCAGCCGCTTCCCCCGCCGCAGCCGCCGCAGCCGCCGCCGCCGCCGCCAAGTGTACTGTGTATTGTTTTTTGACAGGGATGGTGGGGGGAGCAGTTGGGTGCGGCAGTTCGGCCAACCCTTCCTGAAACATTATTGAGGAAGATTTTAGGAAGGTTCCTGGAAGGTTTTCCTTAAAACCTTCCAGGAACCTTCCTGAGGAGGGTTTTTCATAAGCTCCTTTCCGCCTCATGTTGAAGTAAGACAAAACTTAGTTTGCATGCGTTGCACTGTCCGCTGGAACTAACAGCTGCGTTCCGCAGCTGTATGATTGCTCGAACAAGCCAACCTTGGCTTGCAGGAGAGAAAAGGAGCGCGCCAGCCCTCGGCCGTCGTGCGTCGTCGGTCGTAGGCCAGCCGGCCTCCTCCCTTCACATTCCTGATAGAGTAGTCTTGCTTAACGGATACTTGTCTTATCAATGTCTCATCCCGTCCCCTCTCTCCCTGAGCAGAGTGAACATGAGATCTTAATTCCTTTGTCATCTTACCCCGGTTCTCAAAGGAAAGATTGGTTATCAACCGAAACGCGCGACCTAGTCGACGCGGGGCCGTCACATCCAGGAGCAGAACTTTCAAATGTGCCCCGCGACCCAGTCGCTGCGGGAATGAGCTATGATAAGACTGACATCGTGCCCAATATCTCGAGAAGCGCCGACGGGCGCGTTGTACAACATGATGGACACGACACAAACATGGACGGTCTAATTCAGGACCGAGTCCCTCCTTCATACATCGCCACTCGGGTAGCAAGGGGCGGAAGTACCGAGGGAGTATCAGAGATGTCGGTAAACGTCCCTCCCGCGGGAGCTCCGATCGGTGATCGCGAACAAGCCCCAGACCCGTACGGGCGAGATGGCGTAACAACAAGACCTAGACGAAGTGCGTTTTCGTCATGGAGTGCCAAATCGACGGAGTCAATCAGCCCAATTCCGAATGCTATACATGCTATCGCTACTGCCGCTGGTGAAGCCGGCCGGCCAGGGGAAGTCCAAGAGAACGTGAATGCGTACCCCAGTATCCCAACCGAAAGGGCGGGTACGAGTGCCAACGTTCCCGTCCCAATAGCACTTAGCGGACAATTTGGTCAGGACAGTGATGACCCAATGGAACAAGATCGTGAAATCTATTCCATGGAGGAATATTTTTGGTAACATCAATAACGACATTTCCCTGGGCCGAGCGTTGTCCGTGATGATGGAAGAAGACATCCCTGCTCAAGACGAACGATGGTCTCCAGATGGATCCGATGAAGACACTAGTACCCTGGCGCCTCAGGTGGACAGGACGGAGGCCCATGCGAAGCATGAGTGGGAGTCCACAGGACGAACCCCTGCACCTCACCTCACGAAACAAATGAACGAGGACTACGAGCTAAACGTCTCACCACTGAAAGAAGGTTTCTTCCGTACTGCCGCCACCTCAGGTGACTGGCAACCTTCGATTCCAGCCGTTGTTGAGGATGAGGAAATGGTTGGACAACCAGCTACGTGTGCTCAGTTAATAACGCAAGACGAAACGGACGAGGAATTTTATGTGCCTAGACCACCAGAAAATGCCTTTATTCGCCCCAGATCAAACGCTTCAAGCAGGGGGGGGGCCCAAGATGCCGAGATCAGGGGCGATATCTACTTCAAGGAGCAACAGTGCCGTCTCCATGGCGGAGGCTTGTTGGAACCCTAACCCTAACTGCGCGCCTCCGGCGGAGAGCAGATGCCCGGGTAAAGCCAACAGGCCAGAAGGCGCATGTAAGAATCCAGTGTGCAAGAGTTGCTCGGGCGTCTGTCATGAGTGTAACGTGCAGTGGCTGTGCGCAGAGTGTTGCCCGATGGGCGAGCGCAACTGCACGCGTCTCCTCATGCAATCCATTCGGGGCCAGGCCAGGCTAGCGGATGCTACCACTCAGAGAGAGTTTTTGACCAATGAAGCGCAGCTGGCTGAAAGGGCCCGAATGGACAGAGAAGAATTAATTGAAACTGTGGTCGAAGTTCGACAAACATTCGAGGCTGGGCGGATCGCCCTAGCCATGGCTGCTAGAGAGCGGGAACAAGCGCTGATAGAACATTTGCACAACCAGACCGCGGCCGTTAAGCGGCAAGTGGAGCTGGAAGCCGAAAATAAATACAGAGAATTATTGGCTTCTGAGAGACAGGCCGTCGTGATGGCAACCAATGAATCTGTCGACGCCGATGCGGTCGCCGCTGCTGTTGCGGTGGCCAGAATAGAAGGAGAACCGATCGCTGCAGTCGTGGCGGAACGAGAAAATCAGAGCTTACAAGAAGAGCTCAAAAACGCCAGGCTGGAGGCAGTTCACACCCAAGCTGTAGCTGCGAAGATAACCGACCAGAGCAATCTTTATCTGGAATTTCGCATGAAGAAGCCAGATCTTCCCTCCAGCGCATAAAATCGAGCAATGCTAAATGCCCGCCGGCTAAGCCGACTGGAACGAACGTGCATCAATTGTCGACGGCTCAGTCCTCCGGCACCGTGCCCGTTCCAACGCAGTTTGATCAGACGACCTTAGCAAATGCGGGAGCGTCAACCCTGCTGGTGGGAAACGTGACGCATCCTCCTCCCGAGGAGAGGGGAGATGCATTCTCCGCGGCCCAATTCTGCGCAGTCTGCTTTCGTCCGAAGACGGACAATTGCGTCGGATGTGGTAGGTCGGCATGTGAAGAGCATATCGATGCAAGCACTAGAAGATGCTCTAGATGTGACTTGTGGAAGAGTGAAAGGCCAGCTGCCAACATGCGAGAAGAAGAGGCTATTCCGAACGCAGCTAATTTCGAGAGAGGAATGGCGAGGCTTAATT